CAAAGCAACCCCAAAACATCTTTGAACCTCCACCATGTTTGTCTGTAGGGACTGTGTTCTTTTCTTCGAATACCTCATTTGTTTCTCTGTAAACAGTGCCATGATGTCCTTTACCAAAAAAACTCTACTTTTGTCTCATCTGTCCACAGTATGTTCTTCCAGAAGGACTGTGGTTTTGTCACATAAGTTTTGGCATACTCCAGTCTTGCTTGCCTTTGTGTCAGCAGTGGTGTCCTCCTGGGTCTCCTACCATAGTGTCCCTTTTCATTCAGATGGTGACGGATAGTACGAGCTGACACTATTGCACCCTGCAGATCAGCTTGAATTTGTTGGGAAGTTAATCTGGGTTCTATACCCACCATTCATTGTAATTTTCCTCTTCCGTCCACATCCAGGGAGGTTAGCTACAGTGCCATGGGCTGTAAACCTCTTGATGATATTGCACAGAGTGGAGACAGGAACATTAAAATATCTGGTGATGGACTTGTAGCACTGAGATTGTCAATGTTTATCCACAATTTTTCTCTCAAATCCACAGACAACTCTTTAGACTTCATTCTTTTCTCCATGCTCAGTGTCACACACAATACAAAGGTTGAATCAACTTTTCTGCATCTTAACTGGTTGTAAGTGTCATTACTATATTGCCGAAACCTGCGACGGGTGTATCTAAATACAAATTAAAGGAGCATCACATGCTTGAAAAGCAATTATTTCTTACAATTTAGACAGGGTGCCACCAATTTTGGCCAATGCATTTTTGGGTTTCTGTGTGGGATTGTGTCAGATTTGACTTTTCTTCTCTGGTTTTTTTTTGTTGTTGTTGTTCCAACGCAAACCAAAGAAATGAACACGTGAGTACCAAAACATCGGCAACGGGAGCAATTTTCTGAGAGTCTGAGAGAAGGGTTCCATTTTCTGACAGAATTGCAAGGGTGCTAATATTTTTGGCCATGACTGTATATGGGCCAATGATGTATTTGGTGGTGGATCAGGCCACCAGTGTAGCAGAGGGTTGGGAGATCTTCTGGAGAATATGAAGGATAGAGAGAGGAAGTGTTCACCACATTGTGTAGGGGGAACTCCACTCACATGAAACAGATGTACCCTAAAGAGCTGTGTGGCACCCCGAATTTCCAGATTCGTTGTAAGATTTATACACTAGGTTGTAGCTCACCAAAGCACATGGCATAAGAGATACATTGATTTATGAGGTGTCACAGGACTCTTTTTAGTTTTATCCTACAACACAGTCTGACACACATCTGTTTAGTAGATCATATGGCATATAAGAAGGGTTAATATCAGGTAACTAAATATAGTATTGCAGCCTTAAGACCTTCACATTTTTCCATCCCCTGTTTCTCCTTGCACTCTCTTTTATACCATCTGTAGAGATTTTGAAGAGCTTTTGAACAATGCAAGGTGATGGGGGCTGCTGCTAGGGGAGTCTCCCAAAATCCAGTTTGGAAAGCACACCTCAGATGAGTTAACTGAGAGCAAAATGCTGACTAGCCAAGATGGCCAACAACCAGCTGAGCTGACACTAGGCCCACAGAAGCTGCACTGAATCCAAAACCTCCTTGGCTTATGTTCAAACTATCCATGTGCTGATCAAACTTTCTCCTGTGCCCTGGCCTGGAGGAGTTTTGAGTCTAGCACAGCTTGGCTCCTCCTGCTTTCCATCTTTTTTTCCATCTTTTTTGGGGGGTTCCTCATGATAGACTTCAGCCAGCAGATCAGTTCTACTGGGAGATCCCTCTACTGACCGATCTCAGAGATCAGCCAACAGAAGGAAGTTTTCCTGCCTATAATTTAGGATTCCACTGCCAACACAAGAGGGATACAGGTGGCAACTCCCTTAATTTGTCGAAATGCATGATGCTTCATTGCTTTGAATGAGTTTTTGGTGTTGCTTTTGTTTACTGTGTTTTAGTGTGGTATTTGTTTGGTCCTTTTTAATATTCCTGTACTTACTGTTTTTAGCTTTAAATATTGGCCTTTAATGATGTAAGTCACCTTGGGTCCTTTTTCAAGGTGAAAGGTGAAGTAAAAATATATTTTAAATAAATAAATAAATATTTTACTGCTCTGACTTACAGCACTGTACTTGAACTGACATATACAAGTCATAAGATTCTGGCTGATATATTTTCTGTGATGGCAAAATTGTGTGTTTAAATGACCTTCAATCAGTGTGGCTTTCAGTTCTCTCAAATAACAATTTGCGGAGGAAAATAAGTGCTTCTGGGGAAGCAAAGAAAATTAAGAAAGGAAAACAACCAAAGAATGTTATGCAGTTCTATGGAAGCTTAATGCATATTGTTTTGTCATTTAGAATTGCTGTGTAAGATAATATGAGGCTTATAATGTCATGCAGGCATTAGTGGAATGTTTTCTACCACTGTATTCAACAACAGAAATAAACTATATTACTTGATAGCCTGTGATTATGCAGTTGCCACTGCAAAGGGCTGAGTCAAGCCATGTATCTGTCATTGTTTTGCTTGACCATGCTGAAAACCTGGGATATTCCCCTTGTGTTTTCCTACTGATATAGTCAATATTTGTTTGTCCATCTTTAGCCAAGGAAAAACAAGATATTCCTACCACATAGACCCCTCCAGTGCTGTATAGTTGCCTGGCCTCTGATTATGAAGTTCTTGGATCCTTTGGCAATAACTTTCTATCATTCCATTCTCCATATGAGTATATCATAAAGCATATTCTATAAAGTACAGAACCCCGAAAATTATTCCTTTTAAGTTCTGGGGAATTTACAGAACTTAACAGAACAGATGTGTTGTTGTTGTTGTTAACAAAATATGCACTTGGGGAAAATGTATGCAGTTCGAAACTGATGGAAAGCAACTAAAAAGAAATGGCTCCAAAAGTGAGGCACCAGGATTTACCTATCAGTTTCCAACTGCACTCTCCCCCCTCGCGTATGTGCTAACAATAACAAAACTGTGGAAGTCTTGCCGTTGGTAACACCCTGAAGATGCCAATTTTTCAAAGCTGCAAACAGATTTCTGGCCACTTCTGTTTTGTTTTTCTTTTCCTTTTGTTTCATTTTTCCAGCACTTCATGCTGACCTCAGAAGATCTGGGGAGGGGTGGCTGGCAAAAAATGAACGTTCCGGTTTCCCACCGTTCTCTGCATATTTACCATCTAAATAATCTGGGTACATGTCTGCTTTCAGGTGCTGATTATAGAAAAAAAGACATTTAACTCTATCTCTCTATATCTTTATTATTGTTCTCTTTGTTTTTGCAGGAGCTCTATAGAAAGGATTGCAATTTAGCAGCTCAACTGCTCCAGTGTAGCAAGAATTACGACAGGGCACATAAGCTTTCCGAGGTAACATAAATAAATGTATGTCTTAAGTTCATGAAAATAGCTGCCGCTATAATTTGGTCCTGCTTCTTAAGAGCAGTAGAAGAGTTGAGAGCAGGGGAGCCATTTCGTGTAAGCAAGGAAGACAGTAGAGGAAAGAAAAGTCAAAGTGTTTGGGACCCCGCCCCCAAATGAAGTAATATTAAATCCTAGCATCTCTTTGTTTAGAAATTAACTTAGAAACAGAAAAGATAGGAATCTCTGTGAAGTAGCATCTAAGACAGTGGTTCCCAATCTTGGGTGTAACAGCCACCCTCAAACCTCAAAGAGTGGTTGCTACTTCACTTTCCTGCTTCTTAAGAGCAGTAGAAGAGTTGAGAGCAGGGAAGCCATTTCGTGTAAGCAAGGAAGACAGTAGAGGAAAGAAAAGTCAAAGTGTTTGGGACCCCGCCCCCAAATGAAGTAATATTAAATCCTAGCATCTCTTTGTTTAGAAATTAACTTAGAGACAGAAAAGATAGGAATCTCTGTGAAGTAGCGGTTCTCAATCTTAGGTAACCCAACAGTTCTTGGACTGCCAGTTGTTGCCAGTGTTTGGATGTCGCCTCAAAACAGTTGAAACTGCTTTGCTTTGTCCAGTTCTCCTCAGCAAGTATGGAAATGTGATGTATTTGAATGTGGAAAAGGCAGACCATAGGATTAGGCAAGCTGAGCAATTGATAAGGATACCAAGCTGAGGTGGGGTGGCCAAAGTGAGCTGAAGGAATTGCATTTTTCCCCCAATGCATTGTCTACAGTGAGCTAAGGTGGCAAAAAAAAAATCCAGTGTCTGTAACCTTGTTTTCCAATGTTTTACCGGTTGCCTGGAAGCTCTGAAAACCTTCATTCAATTATCTTTAAAGTATGTTTCTTTTCATGTGTCCAGTTTGATGTCATTGGCACTTGTTAAAAATTAGTGGGCCATACCTTGGGTAACCCAACAGTGCTTGGACTGCCATTCCCAAAAACCCGGGCCAGCACAGCTGGTTTTGAAAGATTCGGGGAACTGCAGTCCAAGAACACCTGAGCTGCTCGAGGCTGGGAACCACTGCTCTTAGATTAGAAGCATTCCTGCCAGTTGTTGCCAGTGTTTGGATGTCGCCTCAAAACAGTTGAAACTGCTTTGCTTTGTCCAGTTCTCCTCAGCAAGTATGGAAATGTGATGTATTTGAATGTGGAAAAGGCAGACCATAGGATTAGGCAAGCTGAGCAATTGATAAGGATACCAAGCTGAGGTGGGGTGGCCAAAGTGAGCTGAGGGAGTTGCATTCCCCCCCCCATGCATTGTCTACAGTGAGCTAAGGTGGCAAAAAAATCCAGTGTCTGTAACCTTGTTTTCCAATGTTTTACCGGTTGCCTGGAAGCTCTGAAAACCTTCATTCAATTATCTTTAAAGTATGTTTCTTTTCTTGTGTCTAGTTTGATGTCATTGGCACTTGTTAAAAATTAGTGGGCCATACCTTCTATGAGTAGGGACTGGGGAGCAGTAGGGCTCTCAAGATCCGTCCTACCCATGAACCCCACCCCACCCTCGGTGGCCCTGAAAAGCTGGCTACAGAAGGAAGCACTGAAAGAATGCCAAGGGACAGCCCCAGATGTGGGTGTGATGAGGGCTATAATTTTTTCATTCTGTTCTCAGCACTCCTCGTATCTGTCTCATGGCTGTCAGTCACAAGGCTAATGAAGTGTAAGCTTATGCTATATTTTGATAACACCTTCTTTAAAATGTTTGACAAAGAAGATCTGAAAGATTTGGATTGCACAAGTGAAAAAAATGAAGTGTTTACTTGCTGACAGAAAGAGAATAAGAAGGAAGCCAGCCTAGCCTTCTTTGATATGGAGTTCCAGAACCAAGGAACATCCACCAGGAAAACCCTATTAAAGCTTTAATTTCCTGAGCTTCTGGAAAACTAAAAGGGGTTCTATTATTTAATCCATTGATGGTCCAAAAATAACTCTCAAACCACATCTGGAACTCTCCCCATCTCTATAGTCTCCTCCTTCTTGTTACTTCCTAGAGGGAAGTATAACAGAGAGATTGGTTTGTGGCCTTGATCAAGATCTCAACTAAATACCTATCTCCTGATACCACTCTCCTGCCTCTGACATTTTGAGGTACCTTCCTTTTAAGCTTGGAGATTATATCTCCCCATCATGGCTTGTAACCTGCAATGGACTTTTCCTCCAGAAATCTGTCCAAGCCCCTTTTTAAAGGCATCTAGTCCAGAGGCCATCACTACATCCTATAGCAAGGAGTTCCACAGACTAACAAACATGGTGGGTAAAGAAATATTTTCTTGTCTGTTCTCACTCTCCCAACACTCAATTGGAGTGGAGCAGGTTTTCATGTGACGTTGAGGTAACTTCTCGTACTAGCTAGAGGAGTGGGCAACTTCTAAAAGCCCCGATGCCACTCTTGCTCCCCATGAGACATCAGAAGTCTGCACCCTTTACTTTTGTGCCCTTATGCCCCTCCAAAATATTGTCACTGTGAACTGTGAAAAAAAAAATGCAATGGACCTCAAGTAAGTCAAGGACATGAAAATAAAGCAACATCTACCCGAATGGAACAAGAAGCTTTTTGACATTAACAAAAAAAAAACCTCAGAGGTGTTAAGTATCTGGGGTGTAGGGAGAGATCCTGTGCTAGCAGATGGATACGTATTAGTGAAGCTGTGGATTTAGGCCAAAATACATCCCTGGAATTCAAATCTATTATCACAGTGATTCTCAAATTTGGTCCCCAAATGTTCGTGGACTGCAACTCTCAGAAACCTTGGACAGCAGAGCAAATAGTGAAGGCTTCTGGGAAATAGCAGAGCAAATAGTGAAGGCTTCTGGGAATTACAGTCCGAGAACATCTGGGGACGCCAGCTTGAGAACCACTGTTCTAGCACATAGCTCTTGCAAAATGCTTCTTTAAGAGAAGTAAAACCAGCTACCATGGACAGCGCCTGTCTGTTAATAAGCCTTGAGGTATGACAGCTTCTGCTGAAAGCCACTTTCAGCCTTGTTGTTCTGCAGTAACCATAATAGTAACACTACAGACCCAAAAAGCTGTGCAAGTACTCTCCTCTCCCAGAGTTCTTCTCTTTTTGCTATGCTGTAATCAGGACCAGACTGAGGATAGCACTTATAACATGTCATACACAATTGTGTCTTCAGAAGGTGGTTCCAAACTACGAAAGCTATTAAACTACACTTACAAAGGAAACAAGTGAAGATAAAAACTTGTGATTCTGGTGATTAATGGCAGGATACTCTTGTTTAAAGTGATTGCTCTGGAATTATCTGTAAAATAAATTGGTTGAACATGAGGGGGGGGTAAAATCTGTTTTTGTAATGATTTTACCTAATTTTTTTAACGTAGTGTTAATAAATTTGTTTTTTACTATTTGAATAATTTAGATTTTATCTTGTAATACTGTGTTTCTAATGATATAAGCCACTTTGGGTACTTTTTTTTTAGAAAGCCAGGGTAAAAATATTTTAAATAAAAAAATAAAAATAAAAGAGGAGCAAAGTATAAATTTTTAAAAATATATTAGAGGTTGCTGAAACCTATAAGAGATGGTAGGAGACAGCAATAAAATAATAAATGGCCAAAATAGTCTGACAGTGAAATCAGCTGTATTTGCATGTCTCAATATTTCTTTGAGAAAAGCAGCCCCATCATTCCCATACATTCATTTTAAAGTTTGGAAGCATTGTTTCATTGGACTTTAAGTAATAGAATCCCCCCCCCCCAGTGAGCATAGCCACTAACTGAAGGGAATTCTTGAGGTTATAGTCCAAAGAAATAACTTTTCCAGTCTTCAACTTGAGTCCTCATCAGCTGGACCTTCTGAGTCCGAAAGCATATGCCTTTAAAGAATTCTGCTTGACATTCATTTACCTATATTTTTCTTCCCCCTGTTTGTTACAGTTGCCATCAGACTTTCAGGAACGTGTTAGCATCCACCTTGAGAAACACGGGTGCAGCCTCTCCGTACCTCTGTGTCATACATCATTTGCCGACAACATACCGACTTGCGTCATTGCAAAAGTCCTGGAAAAGCCAGACCCAAATAGCCTTTCTTCACATTTATCAGGCTCATCAAACAGAGATCTCACCTTCCAGGACTGTACTGGGAAGCTTAGCCAAAGACCTCAGTACAAGACTGACATCTATTGCAGCGATACAGCTCTTTACTGCCCCGAAGAACGAAGACGGGAAAGAAGGCAGAGTGTTGACATGCAAGTGAAAGATGTTGGGTTCTTGAGGTCCCAAAACTCCACAGACAGCACGGTGGAAGAAGATGGTTTCCATTCCAGCTTTTCTCATGAAGCTTTTCCAGAATATGTTACCTCTTTACCTACTTCAAGCTCTTACTCCAGCTTCAGCGTAACATCCGAGGAAAAGGAGAACGCCCAAGCTAGCACGTTGACGGCCTCCCAGCAAGCCATTTACCTGAGCAGCCGGGATGAGATGTTTGAAAGAAAGCCCCCATCAGGTTACGACCACCAGGGAAGTCCAAGGTTTGCAAAGTCTAAATCCATCCAGCACATGGAGCTGGCCGATGACAATGAGAATTCTCCCACCTTCACGAGGACTATGTCGCCTTACGCAAGCGACCCTTATCATTTCTCAGCCATGACAGCTCAGCAAGCTTTAGCGTCACAGAAAATGCGTAGTGAGTGCAGAAATACCCATTTGTCCGAGGAGGACCTTCCGGGACGGTGGAGGCAACTGAGCGTTGAGGACATCGGTGCATACTCGTACAGGAACAGCGGCAGGCTTTCGCCCTGCAGCTTTTCGGAGCAATATTATAGAAGTCCCATCAAGAAAGCAGACAGTCGGTCAAGTCCCATTTATGCTAGCTACAAAGGTGACAGCTTCTCAGAGGGAGATGAGATGTGTCAAGGCAGAGTTGCGGATTCTTGCTTCCTAAGAACGGACAGTGGCCTGAATATTGACATTAGCACTACCTGTAAACAGGACAAGCTGTCTTCTTACAAAACAAAAGAACTGAGAGACAAAAAGAATGAAAGAATCACGGTCCAGGTGTGCAGTAGCAAAAGCCTCGACGGCAGCCCCGTCCTCAAAAGGGAGTACGTGGATGTGAGTCCGAACAGTTCGGCCGAGTCCCTCAACCAGAGTTCTATGGAGGCTTCAGAGATCCACCAGTCTTCCATTGAACAAGGAAGCCATTCAAGCCTTCACAGCAAGCAGCAGCAACAGTTTCACCGGACTGGAAGTACAGGCTTGAGTCGGAAAGACAGCCTAACAAAAGCACAATTGTATGGGACTCTCCTCAATTAAACATCATCCAAAGTTGCAATAAGGAGATGAGACAACAGTGACTGACAGAGATGACCTTTGATACTTTTAGTGTACAGTTGGCTTCTAGGGAACAGAACTATTATAATATATATATATAGATCTATATATATATATATATCTATACATATACACACATATATTCATACTCGCAATGGTACTATTTTAAAAGGAGACGTATAAACCCAAATGTGATGGAACAAAACAAAACAAAACAAAAACATTACATGGCACTTTTCACACGATGACTTTTCCATCTTGGATACTAACCCTTTGCCCACTTTTATAACCTGAGATATTTTTATAAACAAAATGGTATTTATTAGACTGTCCTTAGTACTCTCAAGCGCTTTGAGTGACACTTTTTTGTCCCCTTTCAAGTAAGTTTCTTATTTATTTTTTTGTGCATGAGGCCACCTGTGCCTAAACTCTTGGAGGAAAAGGGTTTAAAAAACAGAAAGTAAAAGAGAAAGAGAGAGGGAGGGAGGGAGGCAGCAGAGGACAAAATTATATCCCCATAAGATTCTTTTAAAAATCATGTGCAGAGCAAGTTGTACAAGAATGATGATATAATAAAGAAGTCTATTTTTTAAACGAAATGGAAACAAATTGAGCCACTAATGTCTTTAAATGCAAATGTATTTCAGATAAAAAAATGATTTTGGGGGGGGGATCAAATGCACAAAGTCATAAGAATATTTTGGCTCATCTGTCCCATTGTGTTTCAATTTTCCCACCCTATACGCTACCTCAACATTGAGGTTTTCTCTGTCACTTATTTTTCTGTAGGCTTGCATTTATATTGTCTCAAATGCATGGAGTGTCATAACTAGTACTGTATTTTGCATTACTTAATAAAGACACAAGTGGAAATGTTTTGATTTTTTTTTTCTCATTAAAACATGCTCTAAGAGGATGCTGTCGTTACTGAGTATTGTGTTCAGCAGGGTCGGGTCAGAATGGTTTAAGACAGAGAGCTTGGATGTTTGAGTTTTTGAGACTTATCTCCCAGAATTCCTGAGGCAGAAGACACTCCTAATCATTAAGGTGTGCCATTTGAGTGGCGCTGGTTTGTTTGTCCAGGAGGTAGACTTGAGACATCCTAGCAAATAGGCCCCTGTTCCAGGTGAGTGAAATGTAGGTGTCTGAAGGTGTGTGTCGTAGATTAGCAACTCAAGTCTACCCAAGACTAGGATTACAATCCCATTCCCTGTGATTTCAGGACCAACACTCACATCTGGGAGTGGGGCAGGGGAGGTGGGCAGATCCATGTGATGTCACGGGAATTAGGCAAACAAGAGTTGGGAGAGGGGGCAGAGTTGCCCCCAAACCAACTGACTATGGAAACAACAGGGGTGGAAATGGGGATCTGAGTCAATGGTCCAGGAACTGTGAAACCTGTTGAAACCAGGTAATACGGCAATCCTCAGCCAAGGAGAAGATCTATGCTGGAGTCTAGGCAGGACAAAAAAATATATTATGCAGTATTTGCAGTGTTGGCTTCCATATCTATAGGTCTTGATTTCTGCACAGTTCATATCCCTCAGCCAAGGAGAGGAGTCTAGGCAGGACAAAAAAAATTATGCAGTATTATGCAGTATTTGCAGTTTTGGCTTCCATACCTACTGTATAGGTCTTGATTTCTGCACAGTTCATATGCAGTACATCACACACAAAGTGAAGAGGTTTTCCAAGTTCTATACTGTTGCCTGGGCCTGGGAAAAATCTTGGCCCTGTGCTATTGCATCTACCAGGACTCTTGCACCAAGAACGGTGGTGCTGCATTCCCTGTCTTGGTCCAAACAGTGTGCCCATGGACAGATACCTAACCTCCATTCCCTGTCTTGGTCCAAACAGCACAGTGTGCCCATGGACAGATACCTAACCTAGTACTTTCATCCCAGTTCCCTCCCACTGCTTCTGGCTTTGGGGGAATCAGATGTTGAGCAGCCACAATTCACATCAACACTTTTCCCTGAACCAGCAAGCCCTGATGCCAACTGAAGATAGAATTTGGACTTCAAAGACAGCTCGCAGAGATCTGCCTCTCTCTGTGTTTTGTCAGCAAGCCAGAAGTTACTTATACTGACTCCAAGAGGGCTTTCAAGGTAAGTGAGATATTTAAGGAGTAGCTTTACCACTTCCGCATTCCATGGCTGAGTGAGGATTTGAATCCAGGCTTCATGGGACATAGTTTGAAAGTTTATCCACTATGCCATGCTAGGTTTTCCACCACACTACACTGGCTATCTGTTCCCTGAGACTTCAGCAATGCCCTGAAACCTGGCTAACCTGTTAAAGACTGGAGAAAACACAGTTTCCAAAGTAAATCCTTGGGGCCAGTCCTACTATTAGGCAGAATGGGGTTTTGCTTGAGGCATCAGACTTGGCATGCCACAAAAGAGCACAGGATGGTTATTTACTATCTAGTATATTCTTATATTTAATGCTTGAATTCTTGTGGATCTATCTCATATTTTTCCCCATTCCAAAATAATTTCTTATTTTCTATTTTCAGTTAGGAACTTCTCTGAAGAAGAAAAAAGTTCTTAAACTGACTTGATTTACTGGAGGGCACCAACTGCTGCTCTATCTCAGGTCTTTGGCTGGATTTATCTCTTTCAGTTTTTTGTTGTTTTCATTTTATAAACTTCTCCTTCACTAATCAAGTGCTGGAGATTACAGATAGAGACATACATTTTTAAATGAAACCATAAAACATTCGCTCAATATATATTTCAGGTGTGCAGCATCAAGCCCTAGGATCGGATTTAGCTCTTCCAAAGCTAGGTAGACCATAGTCTTTGACCATGACGCCATTGTATGTCGGTTTGTACAGGTTTGTTCCTATTCCAAAAGTTTGTACTGGCTCAGGTAAAGGTAAAGGTAAAGGTTCCCCTGGACAATTTTTGTCCAGTCGTGTTCGACTCTAGGGGGCGGTGCTCATCCCCATTTCCAAGCCATAGAGCCAGCGTTTGTCCGAAGACAATCTTCCGTGGTCACATGGCCAGTGCGACTTAGACACAGAACGCTGTTACCTTCCCACCGAGGTGGTCCCTATTGATCTACTTGCATTTGCATGCTTTCAAACCGCTAGGTTGGCGGGAGCTGGGACAAGCGACGGGCACTCACTCTGTCACGTGGATTCAATCTTACGACTGCTTGGTCTTCTGACCCTGCAGCACAGGCTTCTGCGGTTTAGCCTGCAGCGCCACCACGTCCCTCTGCCCTGTACTGGCTCAACTAAGCCTTAATTAGTGGCAGTAAGTGCTTTAGGCTACAATATGCTGGTACTGTTCATTCCACCCTTTTGCTGTTTCCCAAACACACACTGTTGAAATATGGCCCCTGACAGTTTACCCTTCAGCAGTAAGGGGCTCCTCACCCTGTGACTGAGAAGAAAAATAACATCACCCTTGAACTGCTAGATGTCTTCAATGTCTTTTTGCATACACCAAGGCATCCCACATGGATTGTTGTACTTCAGAGTTGACTTTGACTCCAAAGATCTGATGGGCCCACCTAGAAGAATCCCACAAGTAAGGCACGAAGCCAACTCTTCTCCAGTTCCCTCCCAACAAATGATATAAAGTGGGATGTTGTATAACCACTAGGCTCAGACATATCCAAATTGTGAACCAAATCAGCTTGATTTGGACTAATTCATGCGTGAACTTGATCAAAACAGAATGGCTGAGGAGGAGGAAGAAGACATCTAATATCCAGTGCATTCTTAAGACTGCAGTACTAGGAATGTCCATCTTTTAATTAATTTTTTAAATCTCACTCTAATTAGTTTTTTTGGACTTCATCATGTCTCTTTGAGTTTCTTTACTATTTGAATACTTTCAGTATCTGATATCCTCTAAACATAAATTTTGCTTCACTTTTCATGATGAGCATCGTCTTCACCCTAAAGAGATGCCAACTGAAGCTGTTCCTATGGTGTTGGCCAAGAATATGAGCCAAACACAGAAGCCCACCTGTAAGGACAGTGTACACTAATCTTACTACTCCCCAGATTTTATCCAAGTTTCTCCAAGATTCAATTTCTACCTGCCTTTTTTTTTCTTTGCCTTTTAACCAGTCTCCTGCTTTTTAAAAAAAAGCCTGATTGAGAACTGATTTTGAATTTTTCTAGATCAATATTTAATCCCCACATCAACTCACCTTCAGATTGGCTGCGATTCCCAAGCTACAGGTATCTGCAGATAAGGCAAGCCGGCTACGTAAGTTAAAAATCCCTAAGTCTCAAAAGTGTTAAGGCATCAGATTGGAAGCAGGGGAAATAAACTTCAGTAAGATGAATGTATTTTTGGCATCATCTAATAAGAACACATGCATGTACCTTTCTATATTTATAAAGATCAACCGCTAGAATCCTCTGCTTTTGCTCTGTTAATCTCTGGCTAGCAGTCACATAAACTGGAGACTGCCTCATTGAAGACTATAATAAGGATTTTCACTAGTACAAGATGTTATGGATTCTCTTTCAGCAAGGAATGCGAGAGGAGAAACTACATGTCGAACCAAGCATCCTGGACACAGTTCCCGGGAATCAGATACTACCCCCCCCATGTGTGTCTACTTCTGTTCATGTTTCTATATTCATCTAATTATATCTATAGACTGACAGATGGAAGGGAAAATGGAAGCTGTGATAATTAATAGGATTGTCGGCAAAGAACAAGCCATTTAAAGGGCTCGAGTACATGGGAGCAGAAATACTAACTAACTAATGAAAGTACTGTATGGGAAAAGACGCTCTGGCAGATAAATAATCTAAGTCATCTGCACCCTGACCTAGCTTTGATTCGGCGTCACCAAAACTGGTCATAATGGAAAGTTGAATGCACATCCACATGTGTGGCCCACTGGAATCGATACAGTGCAGAGATACAGGCCACACACTTGCACATCTGCTGTGCCTTTTAATGAACGTGCTATTTATGCCTATGCTTCCTTGAATAGTTCAGTGAAATGCATGAGGTTGGCTGACTTCAAAATCTATTTTGCCAATTCAGGGTCCTAAAGTTATCATAACAATATAGAAACATTGCCAAAGCAAATGTCAGCATTTACTTGGTCTGAAAGGGAGCAATACACATTTTAGAAGGTCCATGCAAGCTACATAGTCCCAGGATGGCCTCAGAAGAAGATCATGATAAACCATGTATTTTCTATCTGAAAAATCTGAAAAGAGTCACCATGAGTAAGAATCGACTTGATGGATCATCATCATCATCAACATACCAGGTACAGTCAATAAAATTATAAAATCATTAACTGGTATATAACACAGTGCTCCTCAACCTTGGGCCTCCAGATATTCTTGGACTTCAACTCCCAGAAATCCTGGCCGGCAGAGGTGGTGGTGAAGGCTTCTGGGAGTTGTAGTCCAAGAACATCTGGATGCCCAAGGTTGGGGACCACTGATATAACAGATACAAGTTTTAAACAAAAATATTGGAACGGTATGCATGCTGTTTCTAATGTTGCCGGTTTTTGAAGCTCTGTTGGTGTGATTTCTGAGATCTGCAAACTGCTTATAACAATGTGACATTTCTTGATATTGTTCCCAAAGCCCCAATGACTATTGGGGACTTGTAAAATGTGTTTCATCCACAAGCGAGATGTTTCAATTGCCAGGTCTCTGTACTTTGTTAGTTTTTCCAATTCTTTATTTTCAACTCTGGCATCCCCTGGAATTGCAATATCAATGATCCAGACATTTCTTCATTCTATCACTACTACAGTATGTCTGCTGTGTTATGTTCTAGGTGTCTATCAGTTTGGATCCAGAAATCCCACAAGATCTTGACATTGTCATTTTCTGACACCTTCTCTACCTGATGTTCCCATAGGTT